TTTTTAGATACTGGCAATTGTAGAATGACCAAACCAGGCTATTCTCAAAACTATCACTCACAATGTTTGTTATTCCTTGTTGCACTCTTACTGATTCTTTTTATTTTTAGGACACACACACACACACATACACACACACTTTCTGATGGTTTTATTTCTTCTCCTGATTAGCAAGCTTCTTGTCATGGATTAGACATGGATCTTGTCTACACATCTTTCTTAGGTTCTTTTGATTTGTCTACTACTCTCATCCATAAGATTTTCTATTTCTTCCTTGATTATTTTCTTACTCCTAATCTAAACACTTCTTTCTTCAAAATAATAGGATTTTTTGGGGGGCTGAAGATTTGGTTTGGCAGTTAAGAGGACTTGCTGCTTTTCCAGAGGACACATGTTCAGATCCCAGCATCTATAGGGTGGTTTACAATGGTCTGTAACTTCCGTTTCAGAGATGCTCTCTTTTGACTTTCACAGTTACCAGGCATGCAGATGGTGCTTTGACACACACACACACACACACACACACACACACACCCTATATAATAAAAAATTTAAATTTGAAAAAAGTTGTTGTTATTTGCTTGTTCATGCTGCATATAACCAAATTATCTTAATTAAACACTTCTTTACTTTTGTTTTTGGAGACAAGTCTCATGCAGTTCAGGTTAGCCCAGAACTTGGAATATTGCAGAGGATGACTTCAAACTCTTGATACTCCTGCCTCTCTTTCCTAAGTGCTGGGATTACAGACATCTATCACCATTATCAGCTTTGCCCATTTGCTCTTAAATTCCTAAGACATGCTTCTCTGTATTTGTTAAGTGAGGTTCATTGCATTGAGCCTTTCAGTTTGCCAGTGGATGCCCTTACTTTCTTTAGCCTATCTCTAGCAACTATGAGAAATGAGCAGGAAATACTGACAGGGCATATCAACTTATCATCAGGGTTGGAAACCTTCTAGGTATCTACAAACTCTTGGGGCAATATCCTACTTAGGCTAAAGGAATTTTTCTGCCTCAGGCTGTGAACAAGAACTCTGCTGCTTAGTGCTTACATAAGGGAGTGAGGTGCTGTCTCTAAGACCCCTAATCGATACTGCTGCCTCATGCTTTGGCACCCATTTCCGTTATCCTATCCTTTAGGGTGCACCATCACATTTTCTCAGCAGCTCTTCCCTGCGTGTGTTTTGGGTTATGATCTATTTCACTGATGTATGCTTCCTGCTTTCTGGATTTTAGAGAATCCATTTTCCTTTCTACCATTTCCCTGGCACCATATTGATCTACTTTTTAGAAACATATTTTCTGTCATTTGTAGGAATTGAAGTGGGAAGAGGATATTGGCATCTGTGCTCAGTCCATTCCTGCTTAAATTTGTCTTCTACAATTCTTCTGTGGCTTCTTTCTTCAGTTATGTCTTCATCCATGCTCTATAATCTACTGACAATGTGCCAACTCTGGGTCAGGCTTGGTATCAGTTGTCTTTCAGGAGGATAGTAGTGTTACCAATAAGTAAAAAGGTGTGATTTTTTTTCTCATTTTTTGTAACAGGCATACTTGGTCATATTTGTAGAAGTCAACAAGCACTTATCTATCTATCTATCTATCTATCTATCTATCTATCTATCTATTGCACGTTGGCCCAGCTTGCACTAGAGACTAATCACCAATTAGTGAAAGTCACTGATCTAGGTGTTGCTCAAAAATCTGTTTTGGCCTCACTCACATCACGCTTGATATGCAAGTGATGGTTAGATGTTTTTATACATTGCTCTTTGATGACTTCACATTTGGTCAGGTTTCTATTCTTGTCAGTGGTTCCGGCACGTCTTTCAAATCTGCCTCTCCTGAGTTCGCTACTGCCTATTTCTGACACTTGTCACATTTACCTTAACTTGTCTGGCTAATGGCATAGTCTGTGATCTTTAGCAGCAGTTCCTAACATTTGTCGTGGTGAAATTGATGTAAAGTCCATTAAGTCTATGAATTTATAATCTCACTTACTTTAACACAACCCTCACATTTTCTTCCATTAAAATTTAGAAACACTTATCCAAGTATATCATTTCCTTGTTTATAACCTTATTTATAAACCTTCAAAGCCTCTCAATTGCTTAAAGTAAAATGGCCTTAGAAGCAATATTTTTATAGATTATTTTATTAAGAACTTTATAAAAGGAGTAGAAATAGTATAGTGATTCATTATGAATATAAATGCAATATTTTTTCTGGTAAAACTGATAATTCTGAGGGTTACTAGGAAGTGGGAAATATGAAGTAGATGTTTTATTCATGACTTAATTAGGCTAACGAGGTGAATAAAACAATGATCTGTTACAATCTATAGAATTTTGACTGGTAAAACAATAAAATTTTGGACTATAAATACATTGATTTACTAAAAAATAAGACTACTGTGGTTAGAGGGGATTAAACACGATTTTGAAATTTGTGTATGGTAGTAGAAAATAAAGTTTGGAGGTTGGTAGCTAAATCATATTATTCTCTTAGTCTCTATGATGGTTAATTTTACTTTTCAACTTAATACAATCTAGAATCTCCTGGGAAGAGCATCTCGGTAAAGGATTATCTAAATCATGTTGATCCCTGGGAGTTTCATGACCTTAACTGAAGTGAAAAGACTGTCCACTGAGAGTGGTACAATTCCCTAGTCAGGGGATACTGAACTGCATGAGAGTGGAGAAGGTGAGCTGGGAACAAGCATGTATTCATCCATTGTTCTGTTTTTGATTATGGTTGTGATATGACCAATTCCCTCAAGCTCCTGCCTGGCTTACTTCTCTGTTACGATAGACTATAACTTGGAACTGTGAACTAAAATTAATCCTTTCTCATCTAAGTAGCTATTTTTTATCATAGCAACAGGAAAGGAAGATAAGACATTCTTGAATCTCTTACATTAGTTTTTGTGGCTCAGTTTAAATGCTGTTTCTATGTAAAAGGCTGGCAGGTTTCCTATGTAAAGATGCCAGAATGTTTCAGGGCAAGAGATGACCAATATGAAACCAAGGTCTTAGGTCCAGGGAATGCTATAAAGGTATTTCTATTTTCCCAAGCTCTTTGAGATATAAATATCATAAAACAACTGAAATGTATAAATTAAAACAAATAGATTTATGAATAGCCTACTTTTGAAGATCAGAGTCCAGTAAGCGCGCCGGTAACGAATGAATTCAGAGACTCCATGTGCTTGTCTCTCATAATTGGAGTCAAAATTGGAGTGGTGGGACCAGAACTCACTTCTTAAGGCCTTTGAATGTGTTCCTTTTAAGACAGTGTGCAAGACTTCATGCAAGATGTAGAAACTGTGCTGAATGGCAGACGTTGTATAAGACTAAAATAACACCCCAGAAAATCGGTTCTTACATTTAATTGAGGAGAGAGTGGGGGGGGGGTTATGCTGTTTTCTTCTTAAGTGATAATAGGTCAGAACTAGAAATCCTTGGGTTAAGGAGGAAGATATGTAACAATGGAGGTCCTGGTCGCAAGTAGCCTTTCTACCTTCCTTCTTTTTCCTTCAGTCTTTCTCTTCCTTCTCTAAAATGCCATGTTTATTATAGTTCTGGTCTTTGGGGAAATGATAGAATGAAGGTAAATTAATGATATGTAAAGCAGAAAGAAACACAGGGGGGCAAAATTCATTAGGTGCTGGGCCATCTGAGCCTGCTATAAAGGTACATGTTTCACCAACTGTTTATTTCTTATGAGGAGCTAGAAAAGCTGGTAGATTTTACAGTGGAAAGATACAGAGGAGTAGCAACCAAGCTTCAATATGAGAATGACCAAATTCATAATGATTTAACAAAATATAAGACTGCATATTTTTAAGCAAATATTTGCATAAATGATATTCAAGGGTTGAAATAATGGCCTTATGATAACGTTGACTGGTTCAACCTACTGAGTCAGCTGCTGTGTCAGCCTCTACTCGCAGCTTGTTATGGAAAGGTGATTGCTCTCTCTCCCATCAGCCCGAGCCAGAGGGCAAGGAAGAAGCAAAAGGAAAGCCACACATCTTCACTGTAAAGGGTGTGACCTAGAGAATGTCTCTTTTCTGTCCAAATCGCATTCTAACCTGTAGCTGAGGCTGAGAAATCTCATCTTTGATAGGATGGGAATACATCTCACTAAAAGTGGAATTACTGAATGAATGGTTCTCTGCTTCAGAGGATACAGTATTTTTTTCCTCTAATTTCTCAATTAAAGGGCGACTCATGAATGGAATGAAAGAATGAATGAGATTGTGTTCAGAAGTAAGGTGAAGGAGCACGGTATTCTACTAGAAGACTGCGGTAAGCAGAGAACTGCTTAATTGTTGCTAGGCAGTGTGGAGGGACCACTTAGACTCTGAACAAAAGAAGCAAACACTGACCATCCTGACTCCTCCCTGAAGCTTCCACATTAAATAAACAACAACCCAAAAAACCACAAAACCAAAACAACAAACAAATAAACAAACAAAACCCCAGTCTGTTTCATGAGATTAAATCCAGTGGTACACTTGGGATAGGATAGGTGTTCCATTCAGTCAGAGGTCTCTGATACGTCTATACAGTTGGCCAGGGTGCTGGGAATGGAATGCTTGTTTTTTTCATTTCCCAATATGGAGAAGAGCAGCTTCCAGAGGAGGCTAGCAGATGCTGGAAATGCAACCGTCGTATGCACACACACGAACACTCATCTATTAAGCTAAAATTTCCCATTATTTTCTCAGTATAGATAGGCAAAGTGGAGCCTTGGGAAGCTTTCTCATTTTTTCCTGTCACACAGAAACTGGTGATTCTGGGGTCACAGGAGTTAGTAATAAATAACCCACATTGATTTCTCTGTTCTAGAATGATTTTTTTGCTTCCCTTCCTCCCAGTGGTCTGATGTTTACCCCAAGAGGCGGTATTAGGAAATCATTTACAAAGTGGTTCAGCCTCTCCGTCTGCTATAGTTATAAATCTAAGGATGGGCTGGGCCTGAGGCAAAGGATCCAGTACTTATTGTCCTTGATCTTTCAGACAAAACTCTGTCCTCTTAGTCCAGATCCCAGCAGCATCGACAGCCATGGCGAAGCTACTATGGTGCTTTCTGATCATGATCAGCTCTCAGGCTTTTGGCCACGAAGGTAGGAGCTATTATAAAGATTCTTTCCCTAGGGGAAAATGGTGGGAGCTTAACATTTTATGTAAGGAGTCAAGGAGCAGGAGCAGGAGCAGGTATAGCTGTGTATTTATGTAACCAAAGAGAGGGTCGGATGTCTCCTGATCCCAAACTCTACTTGTAAGGGAGGGATAAGTCTTCATTATCTGAGAAACTACTCACTTTCTTGGTTTTCTGTCTCACAGACATGTCTACAAAGGTCTTTGTATTTCCCGAAGAGTCAGCTACTTCCTATGTGTCTCTGGAAGCAGAGTCAAAGAAGCCACTGAATGCCTTTACTGTGTGTCTCCGTATCTTCACTGCTCTGAGCATAAGCCGAGGCTTCAGTATATTTTCTTATGCTACCCAGAAGAGCTCTAATGACATTCTCATATTTTGGAATAAAGATGAAGGGTATTCTGTTGGAGTCGGTGGGCCTGAAATACTATTCAATGTTTTAGAAGTTCCTGAGGTTCCAACACACATCTGTACCAGCTGGGAGTCTGCTACAGGGATTGTAGAGTTCTGGGTTGATGGGAAACCCAAGGCGCGAAAAAGTCTGCACAAGGGCTACACTGTGGAGACAGATGCAAGCATTATCTTGGGGCAGGAGCAGGATTCGTATGGTGGTGGCTTTGATGCACAGCAGTCTTTTGTGGGAGACATCGGAGAAGTGAACATGTGGGACTTTGTGCTGTCTCCAGAACAGATCAACACAGTCTATTTGGGTGGGACACTCAGCCCCAGTGTTTTGAACTGGCAGGCTCTGAAGTATGAAGCACAGGGTGATGATGTGTTTATCAAGTCACAGCTGTGGTCCTGACCTACTGTTGTGAGCCCTGAGGCACCTCCTGGGATTACATTCTCTCCCTTGTCTCCAGTTATGAACCTTTTAACCCTAGCAGATGTTGTAGGTCTGTTCTGTGAATATGGCCTTTCACATCTCTGCTCTGCGATCTTCAGCACTAGAGCATGGAATTTAAATGTAAGGCTTCTAGCATATGCACTCCAATAGGAGTCTTTGTTAAAGAGAATTTGACTTACCCATGGTTTTATGCACACACACACACACACACACACACACATAATTGAAAAAATTTTTAGGCATAATCTCTCTCCCACACATTGATAAGAAAACAGATGAACAGAAAGGAGAATAATTTTGTTATTGTTTTTATTTTAGAATGTCATATTGAATGCCGTATTTACATCATTTTTATCCCTCCCTCTCCAAATCCTCCCCTATCCCCCCCAAATCTCTCTTAAATTCATGATGTCTTATTATTAGCCTTATATGCATGCATACACATATATATCATCTATTGTGTATCTCTATCTGTCTATCTATCTATCTATCTATCTATCTATCATCTATCTATCATCTATCTATCTA